GGAGTTGAAGTCCTCCAGGCTTAAAGTTGCCAAGGTTGGACACCCCTGCTTTAAAGCTTAAGATCTTGTTCAAGCCGGATACATAGTTAACTAATGTAACGTTTAATAATTATTTAATTAATAGACCTCATTTTAATATTTATTGTTTTACCATAAAAAATATAAGGAGTAAAACAAATAAAATGGAGGGAAAAACAAAAGCATATATTCAATCCTAACAACAACAACAATAAAAGAAAAAAATAGTGTACAAAAGAGGAGGAAAAAGTGATCAATTAAATTTAACATGTAGGATCCACCCTGGCTGGGTGCTAAAAGAGAAGAAAAAGAAAAAATCTTCCCCTTTTACACACACACACACACACACACACACACACACACACACACACACGTATGATGTATGTACTACAACACAGTAATCCAAAACCAAGCTATATTGTGAATGAAAGTGTTAAGCCATTTAACTATAGTGTCTATAGTGACATCAGCTAGTCCTTGACTTACAATCATCATTTAATGACCATCTGAAGTTAAAACAGCACTGAAAAAAGTGACTTATTACCGTTTTTCCCACTTACAACTATTGAAGCATCCTCAAGGTCACATGATCAAAATTCAGATGCTTGGCAACTGGTTCATACTTATGACCGTTGCGGTGTCCTGGGATCCTGGGATCACCTTCTGACAAGCAAATTCAACAGGGAAGCCAGATTCACTTAACAACTGCATTACTAACTGAACACCTGCATAACTTAATAGCTATATGGCAAGAAATGGGACAAAACCCGCTTAACTGTTTTCTCGCTTAGCAACAGAAGGTTTTGGGCTCAATTGTAATCGTAAGTTGAGGATTCCCTGTATAATAATGACTCTCTGGGTTTCAGGCTGATCCCAGGCCATCCAAGACCTTCTGCAGGCGAAGCATGCTCTGGATCACTCGGCCATGAAGCCTCTTTAAAACAGAGAGCATCACAATTGGTAGTTGAGCAGCTTCAAGGGCCACTTGCCTGCTTCTCCAACAGAAAGCAGCAAGATAGGAGTCAGCTCTTTCCTGATGAGAATTCACAAGGAGCTGCCAATAAAAGTGCCTGCTATCCGGTCCAGCTCCATCGGAGCAATCTATAGAGTAGAGACATGATTTCGCAATACACTCAACATTCCAAGAACATAAAACGGCCATTTCATAGGAACCTCAGCTTGTGCCTGCATCTTATTGCTACATATCTATAGACCAGCCATTTGTTACAGTCCAACAACAACTGAAGTGTGCGGAGGGAAAGCCGTGCTGAAAGTTGAGGCCGGCTTACCAAATAATAGCCTTTCCCTGTGGTTGTGGCTTGATTAAAGCCTAATGACTAATCAATAAAGCTATAATTACAATTTTTTACCCTTTTGTGTGCAATTTGGGACACAAAGAAGGATCAATCAAAGACAGTTCAATAGTATTTTGGCAGGGGAGAAGAAATGAGAAACTCTCATCTACTTGTGTCAGCTCTGAGGCCAGCACACCATGGCTCCAAGTTCCTGGCTCAGCTATTTGCAACCAGTAACTTAGAGAAGAAAAATTATAACCCATCTACCATTTGCCCATTATAACTTGCCAGGCAAGTATCTGGATCTAGTATTGATAACCAATAAGGTGTGGATGAGTGGTCACATCCTTCCTGGAGGATGCTTGGTGGTGGAAAGAAACAGGTCCATATATTTCTCTTCAGCACAAAGTTATGCTCCGAAATATAGGTAATCTTGGTAATAAGAAGAGGCGTTGCAGCTTTTCAACCAGGCCAATGTTTTTCAACCTCAATAACTTTAAAGATTAAAAGTTGGACTTCAACTCCCAGAATTCTTCAATTAGCATACTGGCTCTGGAATTGTGGGAGCTCAATGTCAAGTCCACACAATGTCAAGATTCCGGCAGTTACCCCAATTAAATCATGAGCCTCACACCAAACTTCCAAAACTTCAAAGGATTTATTAGGAGTTAACATGTCGGCATGACCTGGTTGTAACCAATTCTGAGACATGTAATTCACTGTCACCCTTGACTCTGCTTTTCCCCCACCCCTCTGGGTGTATCATAATTCATATTCATATTCTCCAACAAAACACGTTCTGCCAAGAGTCATCAATCAGGTTTTCCAATTAGAGATTGCAGATTGCAGAAACTTCAGACACTAATGGAATGCACTTTCGGTTCCAAACGGCTGCACTGCTCTTTCAAATTCCTTTCCCCCTCTCCCCTTTCTGTTTCTGGCAACTCTAAAACAGGCATAGAAATGTTTTATGAGTTGACAAACAATTTAAAGTTGCTAAGGTTGAAAAACACTAAACTAGGCTATCAGCCAGCCATTCCAAAGATGGACGTGTGTGGATTGATTTATCCATACTCGAACAGCTTCAAAGAAGGACCATTGCAAGGATACAGTAGATATATATATGTCTCTCTCGGTATTGATGAATCCAAGTTTTATTACTGCTGTTGTATTATTACGCTGTTGTCACTTGTGGGATAGTGATTTAAGACAAAATCTTTTCATAGAAGAACCACAATCATGGATCCTTCTTCTAGGACAGCGGTGTCAAACACTATTTCACTGAGGGCCACATCAGGGTTGTGTTTGACCTTGGGGGTTGGCTGGGCGTCGCGGGGTAGGTATGGCCAGCACATCACTCATGTTGGGGCACCTGTGGTGGCCCAGGTGGGGCTGGAGGATACATTGTCTCCTTCCTTCCTTCCTTCCTTCCTTCCTTCCTTCCTTCCTTCCTTCCTTCCTTCCCCTTCCCTCTTCATTCTCCTTTTTTCTTCCTTCCTCCCTTTCCTTCTTTTTCCTTCCTTGCTCTCTTCCCATCTTTCCTTCTTTTTCTTTGTCTTTCCTCTTTCCCTTACTCCTTTCTTGTCCTGTCTTGGATGCTCAAATGCAAAAGGAGGAACATTTCTCCTTTTGCTTTGTTTTGCTTTTAGTTTGTTTTGCTAGCCCTCTGCCAGCAAAAACGGAGCCTGTGGAGGCTGCACGTGGCCATCTGAGGTGCTGTTTTAGGCCATGACAGCCCCCTACTGCCCTCTTCCAGTAAAAATGGAGCCCCCGAGCTCCATTTTCACTGGCAGAGAGCTGCAGGAGGCTGTCACAGCCAAAAATGGAGCTCAATTTTCACTGGCAGAGGCACCATGGGCCAGCCCTTCACTGTTTCCAGGGTGACCCCGCGGGCCAGATCTGAGCACCCCACGGGTTTGTGTTTGACACCCCTGTTCTAGGAGATAATATGCTATTGAATTTTAGTTATCTTCTACAATCTTATCTGGTATTGAAATGCCATGTGGTTCTGAAGCTACATCAATCTTTGATGTAGCTACTAAGTACACTGTCATGAGTGTATGCTTTAATTATTTTTATGTTATATAATCATTATAATCTTATATATTACTACCCGGTTACTCCAGAAGGTAGGAAAAAATCATAGCAATTCAATAGCTTAAGCACATTTTACTAAAGTTAAACTTTCACTTACTACTTCTCCAAAGGAGGCAGCCATCATGTGAATAATTGGAGCTAAATATGGAGAGGCATCTGTGTGCAGGACAGCTTTTGTATATTCATAAGTGACAAAAAAGGCAGCAGCTGGAACACAAAATAGAATGTCTCTTAAGTCACCTAAGGGCCCTTATGATTACATACAATGTTTGTACAATACACTGTAAATTTCAAAGAAGATGCTTGCGGGAAACATCATATTTACAAATATTTTCCATAGTATCATGAATCTTCCCTTCCATTCCAGTTTTTTAACTAGTTCTGCTGCTATGATACTCATTCTGTGAGGGAGCAAGCTATCTCTATGATAATCCTCCCCGTGTTGTCAAATTATCTGGTATATCCAACAACCAAGATGACTAGGTCCCCTGCTATCTAACACACAGTCTTCCAGAGATGGAGTTTTAGTAACACAACCTTTCTTTTTTTCAAGTCAGCAGGATCCAAAAATGATAAAACTAAAAATGACAACTTTAAAAGAGGGAAACAAGATAAGGCAACTAGAAAAGTCAAATGATTGCCTTCTTGAAACTTAAACAAATACCAACAAACAAAAAGTTGGACATTTGGGGGCCAACCATATGATGCTTTCTTTGGTATGTCAAGGTGATGAGGTCCTGGATCGGGAAGAACAGCCTTCAGCTGAACCCTAGCAAGACTGAGCGACTTTGAGAGTAAGAGGTACCCAGATATACTGGTTTTGCTTGTTATTTTGTGTGGTGTTTTTGGCATTACTTGGCCAGTGTCACTACAGTAAGATGGGCAGTAATATCACTTTAATACAATTAACTTTCCTTAATGGATTCAAGAGTTTTGCTTTTCTGAGGGACCAGCTGAGGCAGGTCCTTATAACTACAGTAAATACATGCTGGTTGTCAAGCATCCAAATTTTGATCATGTGACCATGGGGATGCTGTGAGGGTCATAAGTAGGAGGACCAGTCCTCAGTCATTTTTACAGTGCTGTTGCAACTTTGAAAAGTCACTATAGGAATGGTTGTAAATCAAAGAATACCTGTACTTATAAACAGCACTTTGGATCCAAGGCCAAGATGATGTTTCAGAGCAGGTATGGAATTTGTGTGACATTTGTCAATGATTCTTTAAAACAGGGGTGTCAAACTCGATTTCATTGAGGGCCGCTCAGGGGAGCAAGGGTGGGGTGGGGGTGGCCAGCTCAACATCACTCGTGTCGGGGGTTGCTGTGCTGGCCAAGTGCTAAGGCAGGACTTCCCTCAGACCTCCCTCACTTTAATTATAATCTTCCTTCCTTCCTTCCTTCCTTCCTTCCTTCCTTCCTTCCTTCCTTCCTTCCTTCCTTCCTTCCTTCCTTCCTTCTCCTTTCTTCTTCCAATCTCTCTTTACTTATTTTTCCTTTCTTGCTCTCTTCCCATCTTTCCCTTTCTCCCTTCCTGTCCTTCTTGCCTGCTCAAATGCTAAAAGGGAAACATTTCTCCTTTTGTTTTGTTTTTAGTTTGTTCTCCTAGACCAGTGAAAACGGAGCTCAGGTGGCTGCACATGTCCCCACTGAGCCCCATTTTCACTGGCAGAGGCACCGCGGGCCGGTCCTTTGTTGTTTCCAGGGCAGCCCTGAGGGCCAGATCTAAGCACCCCACGGGTAGCATCCGGCTTGAGTTTGACACTCCTGCCTTAAAGAATCTGTCTCTTTCTCCTGGGCCAACCTGTAATTCCAGGGAAATAGGTCCTGAACACAATTCATGCTTCAAAGCAGGCAACTGCATGTACTGCATAACACTATCATTCCAACAGAAGAAAATATTTGTAACTCTGGGAGGAACTGTTCTTGGTGCTCTTTGAACTTGAGTTTTCAGTCAGTTGTTATTCTAAATGTACTTTTTTCTTCCTTCTAAAATTCACCAGCAGAGTAAGTGCTCTAAAGCAGCAGCATAAAATGAAAGACTGCATCCTGAATTGGCAACAGTATTTCATACTAGCAAAAACTAAAACCAAAATATCTGTTTCCCCTGATATTAAAAAGGTTGGCTTTCTGTAACTCTGAAGGTCTTCAAGTAGATTTTTATTGCATTGTAAAAATAGGACAAAGTTCAGAATTTAAAAATACAAACGGTGTAAGAGAAAAACAATTGACGTGTCAAAAGGAGCAGTTGCTAATTCTGTTTCAGGGCTACCTCTGTTGCCCTCTGTGGCTAATCAAAAGATGTTTATCTTCTCCAAAAGAAGATAAGGAGAGAGAAGATTTAAAAAAAAGAAACAGAAAAATTAATAAGTTGGGAAGAGCTTAGTAAGTTTAAAAGACGCCTGAGGATGATTCTATAAACTTATGTTAGCATCCACCATCGGAAGAAGAAAAAGCGTAGAAACAATGATAACACCCCTGTATTCATGGAAATTAAAAAGCAAAATTAAGTTTAAGAAAGTTAGAAATCCAAGTGACTGTATGAAACAAGAAGAGACCCTTACATTGTCCAAAACAGACACTTACTTGTGAAATAAAACTGTTTCTTCTCTAAAATGTGGCAATTCTATCAGCAGCAGTATGTTGCTATTATTATTGATTTGACTTGCATTTATTGTTTTTATTTATTAAATTTATATGCCGCCCATCTCGGAGTTTATCTGGCCTTTATTATTATTTACAAATAATTCAGGGCAGCAAAAATACATAATATTCCTTCCTTTTCCTAGTTTCAGAACAACAACAAACCTGTGAGGTGGAGCGGGCTTAGAGAGAGACAGGCCCAAAGTCATTCAAGCCAGTTTTTCATGCCTAAGGTGGAACTACAACTCAGGGTCTCCTGGTTGCTTTTTTTTTCATTAGGGGAAGGGGCTCCCACATGAGAAACACCCTTTCTTCTATTCTCCACCATTCAGTTGTAACCCAAGAAGCTTCTTGAATGAGAAGCAAAACGTTTTCAAGGGAAAAAAAACAAGAAATTCCAATTGCCTTTTGAAAAGCACCTCTGGTCAGTTAGAAGGAGACCAGCTTGGAATAAAACCAGGAAAGACAGTTGCACAGAATGCCTTACCATTTGGAAAAGATCCTACAGCAGCAGAAGGAACTCCAGCATAAATGCCACGGAAGCCACCAGCCTTTCTAAATCCTTGGGGACTCTGCAGTCTAGTTTTGACTGTATCCAAAGGAAATAATGTCAGGTCCACACACACACCAGCCAGCCCGCCAGCCTTCACAAAATAAACAAGCAAGGAAAAAAACACATCCTTAATATTAACAAAACAACAACAGTGATTTGTCAGCAGTGAAGAACACATACTAAATCAGCCTTTGATACGGATGGTTCAGTACTTCAGTTCCTACTCTGTTCTGAGCCACTAAGTAATTCCACATCATCATTTTTAAAATAGGAATCAAACAGACAATTTTTCAAACAATGATTATTAATACTAGAGAATGAAAGTTTAATTAATATGTTTAACTTGTAGCTATCCAGAATTATTACTGTCCCACTCTGATAGCAATAGCAATAGCACTTAGACTTATATACCGCTTTACAGTGCTTTACAACCCTCTCTAAGCAGTTTACAGAGTCAGCATATTGCCCCCAACAATCTGGGTCCTCATTTTACCCACCCCAGAAGGATGGAAAGCCGAGTCAATCCTGAGCCCGGTGAAATATGAACTGCCAAACTGCAGGCAGCCAGCAGGCAGCAGAAGTAGCCTGCAGTACTGCATTCTAACCACTGTGCCACCCTGGCTCATGATCTATCTAAAAGGGGGTTTAACAATAAAAATAAACAAATTAAAAATACTTTCCAATATGATACAACAGGACATGTGGAAACAACACTCCAGAGGTAAGTACTTATACTGAATATTTGAAAATAAAATAAATGAAAGTTATAAATATAAATAGTGTCATTTTGGAAGAAAAATAATTAACTTGACATTCTATCATTACTTTATTTGGACTTAATTGTTCTTCTCTAGGTTGGGTAAAATGACAGAAGCAAATCAGCTATTCCAATATTGATGGTAAAATCCAGAAAAGCTCATTACAATATGCAAACATAATGTCAACATGATGTGTCATTAGCACAAGAAACAGTTCTGAAATATAAATATGCAGCACTAACAACCATAAGACATGATCAGATAGCTAACATTTATCCACTGACAAAATTGTGCTAAATCTAAATTACAAAGTCTTTACTGACTGCTTCTCTCTCAGCTGAGACAGAGGAGAGATTAAGGGACAAAAAGTGTAACTTCCATAAAGTGGGTGGGTGGAAAGCATCAGATTAAAGACACAGTGTTTAAATGCTTTTGTGGTGCAGATTAAAGACACAGGGTTTAAATGCTTTTGTGGTGCAGAGGTCATATTTTATAACAACTGCCATGTGTAATTTGCAAGATTTTTCACTTTTTGGAAACAAGAAATCTTAAATCCTTGTAGATTCTCAATCATCCATGGTTGTCCCAACGGTGCTTTTCTGAAAAGTAACTGGACTTTCTTAGTTTATTTATTTATAAAATAAAATGTATTAGCCACCCATCTTATCACAGACTAACTCTGGGTAGTTTACAAACATTTTGCTTCTAATCCAAGAAGGGAACGTGGGGAATGGAAGGATTTATATTTTTTGCAGTCATCTGCAGCGTGCTAATTCCCAGAAAGTCAAGTGGCCTTTTGGAAAAGTACCTTTAGTCTTAAATTTGAAAATTGACTTAATTACCAAGCGTAGCTCAAGTTTCTCCATTTAGTATAAAAAACTCATTCACCATCTACCACACACAACCCCAAATGTTAACTTCAGCTGCCAGCAACCAACAGTTGCCAAGTACTTTTATCTTTTTTTTGTTTTTAATTTTATATTATTTCATGTTCATCTTTTTCTTATGTGAAAATCTTTAATATTTATTTAAAAAAAGATTCATGATGACTTAGAAAATCCTTAAAGCAATTAATATCAGTAACAAAATCACAAAACAGGTCCCAACATCCATATTAAATGGCCACACTAACTTTAGAGGTGCCATTTAATTAAAAATTCTGCATAAGAGCACAACTTTGAATTCCTTCCTGAATGCAGTACCAACCAAGCATACATTGAAAAAAAATATCAAGATCTGGTATTTCTCCGCAAATTTCCAGCAGTGGAGAAACTCTGAATATCCTATCTGGGGACAAACATAAGTCGATGGATGAATTCTGAAAGAAGCAGTTCTACAAATCAGTAGGGCAATGAAACAATATGATAAATTAAGACAAACATTCTGAATTATGTTCAGAAGGCTACAGGGAGCTAATGCAGGGGACCCAAAATGGATAATATAGCTTTTAGGTGCCATTATCATTGCTTTCTATATCAATTCAGCTTCTGAGTTGTCTTCAAAGGCAACCTCAAGCATAGAGCACTGCAGAATTCAATCTTAGAGGTAAGTATCTGCTATTCAATAGCCCAAATTGGGCAAAACACCCACAAGCATTTGCCTATCTAGCAGTAAGTCTAGAGGAGTCTCAAGTACAAATAGCAATAGCAATAGTACTTAGACTTATGTACTGCTTCACAGTGCTTTATAGCCCTCTCTAAGCAGTTTACAGTCAGCAGAAGTAGCCTGCAGAACTGCATTCTAACCACTGCACCACCTCGGCTCTTAATGAAGATTTGTTTCCCATCCAGAGTTATAACAAAGGCAAAGCACCTCTGCTTATTGGAATTAAACTCAGTTGTTTTCCATCCAGTCCTTGCAGAATCCAGACCCTTGGCTCAAAGCTTCTATTATACCCTCTACCTGGGATAGGTATCATCAATAACCCAATGACACCTCAAAATAATCCAATATTTTGATGGATGACAGCCCAGACTAATTCAGGAAATTCTCACAGAAAGGCGCAAAGGATTTATCAAAGAAAAATGAAAAAGCACCAAGCAACTGTCATTAATTTTAGTTCAGATAGAATTAGTTTGCCTTGTATTGTTGGGTTCTTTCACAGCAGAAGTCAAGGATGGTCATCTTCAGCCATGATATCTCATTCAAAAAGTGCTCACTAGTTTCAGTTAAAATTTTAATCAATAAGTTAATTACTCTTTTAATCTGCTTGGCTATTTTGCATGCATTGATTTCACTACCCGCTATCCTTTTAGCTCTTTCTCCATCAGGATTCTTATCTGGAGCAAGTGATTAAGAGAAGAAAAAGAAAATTGATCTGGTTTTAATCTAGCCATCTGGCAAAAGCATGAATCAAAAGTCACTAATTGGTTCTTTGGATTTGAAACTTTTTCATCTTATACGTAATTTAAATTCATGAAGTAGCTAATGTGGAGCATCTGCCAGAGAGTACAAATACCTAGATGCCTATTTTAACTGTGGAAAACAGTAATGATTTTTGGACAGCAAAGGAACATTGATACCCTTTCTGGAACTACTTTTATACCTCTAAAAGTAAGAAATAGAAAGCTTTACACAGAATTTGATTTTTTTTTATGCCATTTCATTACTTTTGGATAGCCTGAGACAGTTTTTAGACACCCAAATACCTGGAAAAAGGTTTAATATGTTCATATTCTTTTGAACAATATGTTGACTACATGAAAACTGACAAAACAGATTCTTCTTAATGAAGGAATAAATTTACCATGGTTAATCTATTTGTAAACAACCGGAAAAGTAAAAAGCCATCATACAAAAGGAGGAACTTTGAAAAAGATAACAGAATTTAAAATACCTACAAAGAATTAAAATCATTTTTTAAGACACATAATTACAAATTGCTAATTAAACATGATATGCAGACAGAGCAAATAATAAACTATATGATTAAAGGCATGCAAAATGTCAAAAAAGCAATAGTCACAGATCAATGGAAGAAGTTAATAACATTTATACCAAGCTATATAGTCTTAGGGAAAATTTGGTGCAAAATGAAACAAGGTATATAACTCTGTTAACAACTGTCAGGATAGATAAATCTGCCTCCCAGAGTCACATGGTTGAGTTGGGTGGATATAGAAATCAGCCAACCAATCAATCAAATAAATAAATTGACAAGAAATGTTAGAAATGCCACAACAAAAAAGAATGCTTTATCATATGTAGTGGTTAATGTAAAAATCCTCAAAAGTATTGGAAAGAAATGCCCTAAAGTTCAGAAATTAAAATTGATTTAAAACCACAAATATTTTTAGCAAATGTGATCTAAGAGAAAACAAATGAAAGGCATCATCAGACTTACTGTTAACATACAGAAACATATGGCTCCATAGTCATTCAGTGGTTTGCAGTATTGATTAAAATAGAGCAACTATGAATAACAGTTATGAATCATGGCTCAATTTATTGATACTTGTGATGTGCAAATACAGTATATTTCTTGTATATTTTGGGGTTTTTTTCTTCTATAACTTTATATAGTCTACTTTTAGTTTTTTGTGTTTGATTATGTGTCATCAAATAGCTGTCAACTCTTATCAACTTCATAGATTCTCCATGATGGTATGTCTGTAACCTAATCTTTAAGGTCTTCCAACAATACAACAGCAGGGATCATAGATATGGCTGACCTCTGGGTTCAGAGATGATACATTATTGTGCAGTTCATGCGTGGACACTGGGCAGCCCTGCGGTTAAGTTACCCCAGTGTCCATACGTGAACTACACAACAATATATCATCTTTGAACCCAAAGGTTGACCATATCCCTGCTGTTGTCTTGTTGGAAGACTTTAAACATTAGGACATTAAAGGTTAGAAAGCACAAATGAGGGTGCTGAAAGTTCATTATTATAATAACTGTGGCTATTACCCTGTTTCTCCACCAATAAGGCCTCCCCCAATGGGAAGTCCCAGCATGTTTTATAGGCATGAAATAAAATTAAGCCCCTCCCCCTAAATTAAGGCCTATATTAAAACATGCGAAATGGGGGGGGAATGGTGGGGGGGCTTGCCGTTAGGAAGTACTTTTGTTGCACACCCGTATATGGTGCTGCCTGCGTTGACCCCGATACGAAGTGCCCCACCAACACCGAGGTCAACATCCAAGCTGTCGCCACCCGCCCACCCAAAGATGCAAGGCGGGGAATTAGGTCACCCCCGAAAAGACAGCCTAGCCATTTTTTCGGGGCTCAAAAAAAAAATAAGACCCGGCCTTATTTTATGAGAAACACGGTATTTTTATAAGACTGAGACGCTACCTATTGCATGATCTTACACATATTTTCTTTCCAATATGCCTGCCATACCACAGTGAATTCAGATGCATTTATTTTTAAACAATATGCAAGTAATATCATACCATAAGCCTCTAAGTGGATAAAGCCATTAAATCTTCAGTGCCTTCTAAGCACAATAATATGCAGAAGACTGAATAGTGGGCATATTCAATTAATTACAGTTCTCATTAGAACTTCACATACAATTCATCAGGAGGGAACTAAATTATTATTACTGATACATGATGTGTTTGTAATCTGTTTACAACAAAGATGTCTTCTAATCAAATTTAACTTCAGATGATTATAAAAGCACACATGGAAGTTTTCTTTGCAACAATACAGTCATGTCATTAGGGGTTTTTTTTTCAACATTCTTTTTAGCAATCCCAAATCCTTAAAATAACTTGGTGTCCTATCAAAATGCTAATCAGGATTCACAGTATTTAGCTTTTGACCCCAGACAATGCTGCCATCTGCTGAACCTATCATATTTGATATGATGCAAGAATTATTTCTAAACTGCTCTTGTGCAAGAAGATAGCTACCAGCAGCATAATTAGGAAACTTGTTCAATGTCAAAAAGCTCTGTCTCAAAAAGAAACTCAGTTCATTCTAAATCCAGTAATTCAAAATACCTTAACGTGGTCCCTTCATAGTATGTATAGAATATGCATGTTTTTAGCCCTTGTTTTCACTAAGCTACCAGACCTGAGCTGCAAAAAATCCGGATGACACCAGATGACAGCAAAAAAGACTCCCATCGGGGAGTTCACATTTTTGCTCCATTCCTTTCCACCTTGCCTTTGCATATGTACCTTTTAATCCTTTTTAACCGTGAAGGTGTCAGCAAAATGCCCCGCACACCAGTTGGGGTATCTATGCAAAATCAGCCGATCGTGGAGGCTTCAAAAGAGTTTAGCAGGCACAAGGCTATGCAGTTTAAAACTCATAATTAAAAGATCTCGTCTTCAAAGCCTTTTCAGGGGGTTTTCCTACTGGATCTTCCACCGATAACCAAGTTTATCTAGTGCGGACTGTAAGTCTCCTTCACTCACCACAAGGGAGACCCAGAAATCCCCACGATCCATGCGTGCTCAGAAAACCATGGAGACGCGGCACTACATTACAACCTTGCTTCCCACGGGCGCAGCCATATTGGAAGGCCGCCCCGCCTCTCTTAATATCATGTGAACAGTTGCTGCTCCGAAACGCTGGCAGATATTTTTTTTCCAGGAGCGCATGCGCGTTGCCGACAAGTAATTAACCTTTCGCGTGTCTTTCATCGCTTCGTAATAGGTGCTGCTTCAGAAGTGCATTAGGGGCACGGCTATTGGGGAAGTGTGTGGAAATGCTCAAATCGTGGCAATGCAGATTTCTAAATATTGTATGAATATTCAGTTTTGCCTGTGCGCAACAGAAAGCGCGTTTTTCAAGTCTTTTTGCAGAGAAGAAATGCTATTTGTAAGGCAATGCAGAGGAAAGTAAGCAAATTATTTCGCTCCCTTGTCCAAATCAGTTTTTCAAGCAACTTTAAGATGTGTGGACTTCAACTCCCAGAATTCCTCAGCCTTTGTTTAAGACTCGAAACATCTTAAAAGTTGCTGAGGTTGAGGAAACAACTGCTTTAAACTCCAAAAGAGATGGCAGCAAAGGGATACTGTTAAGCTGAGCAATTGTGCAGTTGTTTGCAGACCATATATGGTGACTGTACACCTCCATTTAGTGTTTCAAATTGCCAGCAATTATTTTTTTTCCTTCAATAATACTGATGCTTCCAATTGCCTTGTTTTCTTTTATTCTTGGTTATAAACATTTCCTAAGGTTAAAAAGCCAAACGCTTTCCCTATGTAAACAAAGATATATTGACAGCAGTGAAATAGTACATGTGAGATACAACGTTTAATTATAACACAAAGGGGAATTTGTTTTTCTTGCTTGAAGCTGATAAATGATATGTACTGAGTGCTGTGACTGTAATCTTCAATTAATTCATGCCCAGTCCTACAAAAGCCTTCCCCCAACCCACAAACGGTGGAAACAGCTGTTAGAGGCTAGTTACACAACCATCTGTGAGAGAAAACCCATAATTAGTTATGATTACAGTAGATGTTGGAGAGATGCATTTTCTAGAGCAGCAGCATTTTAAATACTTAGTCTCAACCCATACACAGCAGGTACCTCGCTGTGGTAGGATCAACAAACTAAAATTACCTGTTAGCACTTTTTCTGTTCCAGATAAGATATGCAGAGGGCAGAAAAGCAGTAAAAACAAGCCACAAAAATTAAAGGCATGAGAGAAGAAAATAAAATCGCCAATATCATTCTCCAGGCTTCTTTGTAGCTTTTTATGTTTGCTTTAACTATATCCACGTGCTGCTTTATACACTGCCTTTTGCCCTCTAAATTTCTCACCTGTTTTGTCAGCTTCCTCCAACCACAACTTGTCATATTAAAAAGAATGCATAGCTTCTTCAGAGAACAGTTCAATATTGTGAAAAGATCCTTCAGTCTAATGTTATGACACCATAAGGAAGGGAATACTGGTAGTAACAACCTAAATGAGTTAGAACACAGAACAACATCAGAATTACCCTGGGATGTTTTGTTTTTAAAATAAAGAGACTGAAACCTTGAAATAAATTTTGCAAGATAGTAATAAACCTGTGAGGTGGAGCTATACAGGGGGAGCTAAACCTGTGAGGTGGAGCTATCCCGTGGTTACTATGGCAATTGGAACCAGGATTGCCATTGGTAAGCAAAGCAATCATAAAGCACAGCATCACATGACCTCATCATTTAGTGATGGCAGTCCTGGTTGCCCTCATAAACCCAGAACCCCACAAGTTATTAAATGTCCCAGACAAAGAGTGCAGTGGTGCCATGGGGAAGTGGATACCATGGATAGACACTATGGAGTTGGGAAACCATCAGAACCTGCTCAAGTTGGGGGAGGCATGGGAAGGGCTGATGGAGGCTACACAGAGGTCAGAGGAGATCATGGATGGATGGAGAGGAACAGAAAGTCATAAATGGCAATCACATGACTGTAGCTCACTGTGACATTATCATCACAAGCCAGGCACCCAAGCCCCTGGACCACAATCATCTGTGGGGTTCTGTGACAGCTTGAACTTTGAGGATGTATCACAAGCCTACTTTTTTGCAACACCATAACTTTGAACATTCCCTGAATGGATATAAACCAAGGACTACCTGTGTGGGGTACATTTATTCCCTGCTGCCCAATGCTTTTAGAATTCTGGAAGTTGAAGTCTACATGTTTTAAAAGTTGCCAAGGTGGGACACTCCTGCATTACACATTCTGCTAAGGAAACGCCCAAAAAATATATAGGGAAGAAATATCCAAGCTGGTTTCATGTAGTTTATAATAAAATACATGGATGCAGTTTAAAATATGGTTTAGGGTCAACAAGTTGTATTAAATAAGAAATAAGTATTTTGAGAAGAGCTTTGAATGAGCATTTTCTACTTCTATGCTCTGAGGGTATTTATTTTATTTCCTTTTTATTTTAATTTAGTCAACAGTCAATTTTGAATAATGCAGCAATAAAAAATAAAATCATTCACTTATATAGTGCATAATCAACAGACTGACAAGCAGATCTTTCCATAATGGGAAGTTCCTCTGATCAAGTCTTTTTCAATTATCTGAACAGTCTTTTCATCAGAAGCTGATAGACAGCTGAAATTGGACTAAGATTTATTAACTTTGCTGAAGGATTTTCTCATATTTGCTTTGGCTGAATTATAAAAAAATTATAAACAGACTGGTTAAGAGAAATGAAATCTGCCATAGCTGCTGGCAGTGACTGATTTAGCAGCTAAATGATGACCATTAAAGAGATGGAATTTTGAAAGAAATTCCATACATGCAAAGAATCCCATTTATTCCTGTGCATTGAGCAGAAATCAGACCTTGTAAACTTTGGTTAGTAAATCTATTTACATCACAGCTCTCTGTTAACAATCTGAGGATGTTAGTATCAGAACATCAAACTCTGCTTTAATAGGTTCATCTTATTCAGAAAGAATTTATCTAGATATGTCTTATGTAAAATGTGTATCTAATTTCTAAGCCCACTACAGTTTCTTAGAAAGGGACAACAGGATAAAAGAGTTGGAAAGGAACCTGGAGGTCTTCTAGTTAGTTTCCTCCAACCACAACTTCTCATACAGGGGTGGGATGCTACTGGTTCTGCCGGGTTCTATAGAACCGGTAGTTCTGAAAAGCAGAAGAGAACTGAACCAGTTCTGTGTTTGCTGCTGTTTGGCTCACCCACCCGCCTGGGCTCTTACCTGTCCTTTATTTCCTGCTTTTTCAACCTCAGCTGCTTTGCATGGCACAGCTGAGGTTTTAAAAGCAGGGGGAAAGTGGCTTTTCAAACATGCGCACCTGCGTGTAGCGCTTCTCAGAGCCTAAGGTTGTTTTACACACACATGCAAAATGTAGTCACCAAACGGATAGTAACACCAGTTGAATCCCACCCCTGGAGACCCTATGCCATTTCAGACAAATGGTTGTCCACTCTCTTTTTAAAAACCTCCAGTGATGAAGCACCCACAACTTCTGAAGGCAAGCCATTCCATTGATTAAGTGTTCTATCAGGAAATTTCTTCTTATTTCTAGGCTGATCCTCTCTTTGATTAGTTTCCACCCATTGCTTCTTGTTCTGTTCTTCTTGTTGTTGCTTTGGAGAATTTGGCCTCTTCTTTGTGGCAGTCCCTTAGATATGGGGATGCTGCTATCATATCACCCCTAGTCCTTCTTTTCATTAAGTTAGACATACACAATTCCTGCAGCCTCTTTTTGTATGTTTTTAATGTCCAGTCCCTTAATAAATTTGTGTTGCTCTTCTCTGTACTCTTTATAGAGCCTCAAAATCTGCAAACTGTTTGAAAGATGAACATTCAGTTTTGCTTATATGATGGTTCTCACCATTTTCTAAGCAAGAGCTGTCCAGGACACTGGAATTACAGCTCCCTGGATTTTAAATCAGCATACAAGTTGTCATTCCCGTTGTTGGCATCAGTATGGGGAAAGAGTCTAATAACCACTAAACTCCCAACCAATATTTTTCTGAGATTGTGTTATTTCATGGATTTAGTGATGCTCCTCAATTCAGAATGAACTCTTCTTTTGGACTAATTTGCATGCACTGAGCGCACCATGGTTACAAATTTAAAATAAATATTTTAATTGGTTATGTTTTTATAAATGCAAATCTCAATTAAAAAGTTGAGTACATTTTTTGTACTCAAAATAATATCATGCAGATAGAAAATTGCTACTATCCTACTTTTATATGGTAATGATCTTTTATGCTGACACGAGATTCAGAAATGTTGATTAAAACCAATAGTGGAAATCCATACTTTACTACCATAGTGTAGTTAGTATATGCATTTAATAACTCTGGTCAAGGAGTACTATTGACTGATGATCAGGGAACTGCTTTTGTTTATAAAATCATCTTGCAAAGAATCTTTGGGGGAGGGGAGGATAGTTGGTGAAAAGTAAGAAGAGTAGAGTGATTTGGCTAAAGTGCTAATTGTGGTAAATATAATCCAAACAGATGGGAGAAAACAGCCATCCAGTCAGCTAATGGCTCCTCCAAGCATTTGACAGTAGAAACACCTGTTTCAGAACTCATAAAGAAAAAAATGATTAATGAATAGGTCATGTGTTCATAATTAGAAAAGATCTGGGGTTCTACAGCTTATTATCTGTGTTTGAGATTTCTTTCCTGGATGCCTGGTTAATCTGAGACTAATTTCCCAAGTATTAGGTAGGCTTCTGTCCACTGACTTGAGCTCTGAGACAAAATTTAAGATAAAAACTGCTAATGGATGACTGAAACAATAAAATACATTTCCTGAGATGAAGCCCTCCAAGGACAGAGATGGAGAAAGGTTTGGTCTTGATGGATGAGATCCAATTTCAAAATCCCTTTCTTGGCTATCTTAACATCTCTATACTCTAGTTGCTGCTTCTCTAGTGTACATTGAGAGGTGAAATAATTCCAGAGATGTATTGGGGTATGTCAAGAAAGGTGTTTTTTTTATTTTTAAATATACTGCCAACCTAGTAGCACAACTATATCCATTCTGAAGTTATACAGATTTTTCTCTTTTCTTGCATGAAAA